ACATACCATACATATCCTTGGGCCTAGCCCTCACATTGGGCCCAACCCACAGTAATGGGCCTAGCCCGACATACAATGCGAGAGTCACAGAGACAGCTAGCATCCTATATAACATATATTAGGCCTAGCCCTTCCTGATCCATAGGCCCAGCCCAGCATATAAATGGGCCTATCCCAACATACCCGTATACCAGATTGGTACGCCCAGCGTACCGTCTGCTGTTGCATAAGGTACAACTCGTCTAAGCCTGAGAACGGGGACTCCATGCATTATGTTGAGCGTACACATTCGTACGCCCAACGTACTCACCAGGTGACGAAAACATTCATTAAGCATTTAATGCTTAATACCAAAACGTCCAAACTCAGGTCTAACCTCTAAATAAGGTCTTAATCCATAGATTTGCCAAATTTACTCCTTTGCATGGCTTAATGGGACCCAAAACCCCTTTTTATCCATCTAACTCATAATATGAACACCAACTTAAGCAAGATTCAACAAAACCCAACAAGATAACATTTTTGTGCACCATAAAAATCTCAGAAATGTTAAGATCTAGCATTCTAAGCTCCTTGAGTAGCTCATACTCACAAGGATGACTCTAGGGACCAAAATAAACCCAAAACAAGCCCTAGACTAGATCTAACACATAGATTCATCAAGTTAGGAGCTTTATACCTCCTGGAATTTGATGAAGATGATTAGAGCTTGGATCCACAAGCTCCAAGCCAAGCAATGATTCTAACAATTATCTATTTTTCTCCAAAGCACACCAAAAGAACACACCAAGGCTTGAAATTCACACAAGAGATGGTAGGGTTTTGAATTCAGGGTTAAATAGGATGGAGGCTGAAGATAAGAGGTTTTGAGAATGAGTTAAGGCCTTTAAATAGGGTCCAAGGCCCTCAATTAGGGTTTGCACTTGGCTGGAGTATGTCCAGTGTACTCCAGGGACACCCACCGTACTCCATGGTCCATCCGCGATCACCTAGTCCAGTACGCCTAACGTACACCTACGTATGCCCAACGTACTGGACCAACCCATCATTCTCCTAACTTCCGAAGGCCATAACTTCCTCATTTCAACTCCGATTTCAATGATCCTTATATCCACAGAAAGGTAATGAGAAGCTCTACAATCCTACCAACTCTCATTAGACTTAAAACCTTCTGAACTTAAATAAAAAAATCATGAAAGACCCAGACCATCGCCTTTTTACCAATATACCATTGGGCTCCAAAGCATAAACCGAACTCTTGGATCACATAATCTACATTATCCACATCCAAATGGGTCTAAACCTCTCTTTTCCCAAAGCTCGAATCCTTATGATACTTGATTTTCGGGTCACAGCCCCGGATTATATAACGACTCGAAATAGGGTGTTATATATATATATATATATATATATATATATATATATATATATATATATATATATATATATATATAGGTTCAAATGTTTCTAACAACTATTGTGTGCATGAATAGACCAATCACAAATTAACAAAAATTAAATCATTTATTAAATTAATAAGGATATATTAGTAATATTACATATATACATTAATTAATATCCAAAATTAAAAAATCATATCCATTTATTTTGGAAATCAGTTTCTTCATTCCCTTTTAAAACCTACCTCCATCAAACGTAAAGCCATTCATCTACTAGCATCAGGCAACACCATGCCAGAATACTGGATCCGCATTTCCCCTTCACCCGATGTCGGTCACTTTCAAACTGTTCCTTCATCTTCATTATATGCAACCTTAATTTCACATACAAGGCTGTTAAATCCAATCGATGCAATGTGAGGGAAAAGCGGGTGAAATCGCATACCGCTCAATCCAATCGACACTCAAGTTTATCCATTTGAATTTTCTAACGAGGTAATTTTTTTCAATTGTCTTTAATTTCTGCTTTTGCTTTGCAGATTCATCTTCTTTGGAATACAAATTGATGTGTTGGTAGGATTTTAGATTATCTAGGGTTTTAATCAACTTTAATTGTTTGGTTAAATTTACAAACTGCCGACAATTGTTTATAAACTTTGGTTAAATTTGATTAGTTTATTTTTTAAGGCTAAATAATAGTGGAGTGTTTGATAATAACTGTGAATTTTTTGGTTTTGATAGTTTCAAACAAACCTTTTTCTCATGGTTGTTCGTATTTAGGTCAATGAATATTAAAATGAATAACGATTTCTTTTTTTTCTATGGGAATATATTTTTAGAGTATTAGGATTATGGAATTTAATTTATACCATATGCCAATTTCAAAAATAAAATGCTTTTAGTCACCATGTTAAATTTATGAATTTTAAATTCTATCGATAGCCTATAATTTGTGAATTTAAACCATATTTTGATTTGATTTTCTTGGTCATGCGATAACTTAGAATAGTTCCTATACGATTCAATATTGTTTGATTGAATTTTGGCAAAGTGGATTTTGCTTGAAAATTGCAAAGGATTTTGCATATGTGTGTTGGTTACTATTTTACCGGAATAACAAAATAGTGGTATGTATTCTATGTATTTTGTCAGAATGTATTCTATATACTCTGCAAGAATGTATTCTATGTATTCTATCCTATTCTATGTATTCTTCCAGAATATATAAATTGATAGGAATTGCAAGTAACATGCTTTTAACCATTCTTAGTTTTTGTTTTATTTGTGATAGGAATGGCTGGAAGAATGGGTTGAAGAATTACATTCTTACGATAATACATCACGTTTTCGTAAGAATAGTTGGAATCAAGTCGATTATTTGAATTAATTTAAAAAATTCATTATATCATAATTTTAACAAAATGAATTAATAATGTCTACTACATTTTATCAGAATTTATAGTTTTTATTCTCTTAGAATACATAGAATTTATAGTTTTTATGTTTTCCTTGTGGATTTAGGTTTTGAATAGGTTGTCATTGATGTGGAAGAGAAGGAAAACATGGAGAACGAGAGTAGTATTCTAAAAGAATGTATTCTGTCGGAATGTATAAAATGTTTCTTAATAATAATATTCTTTCATAATGGATTAATGTTTTTGTTAGATTTTGATGTTTTTTTCTTTTTTTAACCATTCTTATTTTTAATCTCTAAGAATAAATGTAATGCTTAAACCATTATTAGTTTAAAAATACATTGAATGAACAATATTCTACAAGAATAAAATCGAAAATATCTTTACTAGTTTAGTTTTGACTCACTGTCATTCTGACAGAATAAAATCAGTTATTATTAGAAACTATATTAGAATAAAATTTCAATTAATTTAAAAAATTCAGATTAAAAAAAAGAAATTAATTATCACGTAAAATCCGAAAATTTCCTTTTTTAATATAGGTTAATTGACCAAAACACCATTTTGCTAAAAATTTGTGTGATTATATGGTACATGTTACCCTATTGTAATATCGTAGACCCTCAGATCATGATCATTGATTTTATTCATCCATTGGTTCAAAATTGTGCTTATGGGCACACAATAGATGTAAGAAACAAAATAACTTAGCCCTATATATATATATATATATATATATATATATATATATATATATATATATATATATATATATATATATATATATATATATATATATATTGGTTTTATCTACAATATTCCTTAGTTTAATCAATATCCGAAAATCAAAAACTAAGGGGTTGTTTCTTAAAAAGAAAAAAAAACCATTTGGGGGCGCCAAGCAAAACACGCGCAACATTTGACATTTTGCAATTGTTTGTTTTCTAAAGACTTCCGACTTAAAAGTTGATATGTATGTGTTGCGTGGCACATCACTGGACTTTCCTTTTCAAACTGTTTCTCACTTTACTTTAAAGTATATTGTTCAACATGAAAAAAAATTCAAATTTTTTATTATTTTAATAATATTAACAATTCAAATATAATTTACATAATTTAAAACTAATAGGTAAGTTTCATATAAATATTTTTTTGTTATATTGTTTATAACTAAATATTAATAAATTATAAAGTTAATCACTAAAATTCAAATCTATTGGAACTAACCGAATAAATAATCATTGTCTTGAAAAATTTAACAAAATAAAGATATTGTTCGTTAAATTAATAATTTTATTTATTGTTATTTTACAATTATTATGTTTAATTATTTTATATAATTGTTTTGAAAAATCATATAATCATATGATTTTTATATTCGATTTGAATATGATTAAAACCAAATAAATTTTTTATTTAAAATTATTTTTAATCATTATATGTTTAATTTCAGTTTATTTTTGTATTTTTGTAATATGCGGACATTAACAAACAAAGAAATTTTTATTATAGTTTGTAGTGGTTTGGCACACATATTTATAGATATCGTTTGCATTATATGCGTTTCCAAAAAACAAAGAAAACCTATTAAGAAAAGGAAATATAGACGTGTAAACTAGTTGTGGACCGCAAGGAAAAGACTTGTGCAGCAAGTACGACGTCAATCTCAAACCCAACGGGTAGGGACAATTTTCCATTTTTAATTTACACGTAAAAATAAAATACAACATTGGTACCTCGACTTGCATTAACTTACATATCTGGCTTAAAATATTTGTTTTCTGTACTTTCTCTCCAAAATTAACAATTGCATTTCATTTGAGTCTTTATGACCCATAAAATACATGAAAGTGGCAGCACAACTTGAAAAATCACGAAGATGATGAAATATACAAATTGATTATGAGTTTTACTTTGATGAAAAATTTTCTTTTATTAATTTATAATTTTAATCTAAAACATATATCTTTGTTATGTCATTTTGGAAAACTGGAGTTTATTATTAAATTGTTTTATTCATAAGTTAACAATCCATGTTAGTGAATTTGATCAAACTACAAATGAATGATGTTATTGAGTTAATTGTAAAAATAATTTCACTTTCTTTATGTAGAGGAGACTATTGAAAAACAATAACATATGGATCATAACTATAATAACTCAAACACAAGGGACTTGATTGAACATTATCCGTAGAAAAATCCTGTCCCTTTATTCATCATCAACAAGACTCAAAAGTCAAAAGTCGAAATCAATTACAATTTCTCTTCGACTCACCTGCTACTACTTAGTATCAGAACTTGAACCTATAAACACAGTGTGTATCTTCATACTTAAGGAAAAGAAAAGCACCCTACCTCGATCAATATCCTCTAGAAATGGAGCTAAGTTTTAGTATGATCAACACAGTGCTATTTGTTGTTGGAGTGATAGTGATGATATGCGGATGGAGATTTTTCAACTGGGTCTGGTTGAAGCCGAAGAAGATGGACAAGTTCCTGAGAGAACAAGGTCTGAATGGAAATCCCTACAAATTTCTATATGGAGACATGAAAGAGATGGTGCAGATGACTGCGGATGCCAAATTGAAACCCATAAATCTCACCGATGATATCGTTCCACGTATCATGCCATTTCTTTATAACTCCGCGAAAATTTATGGTATGTATAAGAGCATCTAGTAGAGTTTATTTATGGAGTTTTTTAAAGGAAATTTTTAGAAAAAAAGTTAACTGAAAATTCCTTTATTAGTTTCCGTGCAAAAATCCATTCATGTTAATAAACTCTTTTTAAAAAACCATTGACCAGATGAAATCGGTTAACAAATTTTCCAGCTTATATGGATAAATTTTATTGAGGTGAAATATATGTATGTTTGAACAAAAACTGATGTATTAATTAGGTTGTCTCAGCTTTGTCTACCTTATCTTGCCTTATTTTTAAATGAAGATAATTGGGTATTATGGTTTGAATTTTTTATGTGGGTACTTATCCATTTTATAATTCGAAATGCATTGTAATAAGTATGAATGACTTTTTTGGAAGAAAAAAAATAATAAAGTAATGGTATTTCAGATAAATGTTAGAAAATATTGTGATTTTTCTGAAAATTTTTACATTTTTTTAACGATACTTATACATTACTCTATCAATTTATAAATCTAAAAGTACACTCAACAATAGAAAGGTTTTTTTTTATCAACCTACGAGACCCATCAAATTTTTTTTATATATGATTTTATTATTTTTTTTGTATACTTGTCTATATTTACAACCAGTTAAAAGATCCTATTGTGTAATGCTCTAAACATATAACTTTAATAAAGTTGTTGGATATTATGGTTTGAACACTCTTGTTGTATGGAAAAGTGAAAATATTTGTATACAGGTAAAGGAAAGAATTTCTATACATGGATGGGCCCACGACCTTTTGTGCATGTAACAGAACCTGCACTAATACTACAGATTTTGGCAAATTATTCTCAATTTCAAAAGATAAATGGAGGAAATCCGTTGGCAAAGTTGCTAGCAAGAGGGCTAGTAGATGTTGAAGCTGATCAATGGGCAAAACATAGAAAGATTATCAATCCTGCATTCCATGTCGAAAAGCTTAAGGTTCTTGTTCTTTATAAATTATCAAAGCAAAAGTGCCAATATATATGTAATTATAATTTATAAACCATTGATTCCATTAATGTTCCAAATATGTAGCATATGGTACCCGCTTTTTACATTAGTTGTACTGAGATGATCAACAAATGGGAAGAATTAACGAAAGAAAAATCGTGTGAAGTTAATGTGCACCCTCATCTCCAAACCCTTACTAGTGATGTAATTTCACGTACAGCATTTGGTAGCAGCTATCAGGAAGGAAGAAAAGATATTTGAACTTCAAAAAGAACAAGCAGCGCTAGTTATCAAGGCTTTCCAATCAATATATATTCCAGGTTCTAGGTGAGCAAGCTTTCCATTAATAATTTTGCTTTTTTAGCCTCATATTCTTTCCTAAAAAAATTCAAGTAATACTGTTCGATTATTCTACTATGATTTTATAGATTTTTGCCTACAAAGAGTAATAGAAGGATGAAGGAGATTGACCGAGATGTGAAGACTACAATAAACAAAATTATTAATAAACGGGTGACAAGAATGAAAGCCGGGGAAAGTAGCAGCGACGATTTATTGGGCATATTATTGGATTCCAATTACAACGAAATCAAACAAAAAGGGAACACCAATTTTGGACTTAGTACTGAAGAAGTCATTGAAGAATGCAAACTTTTCTATTTTGCAGGCCAAGAAACTACTGCAAATTTGCTCATTTGGACAATGATTTTGTTAGGCCAACACACAAATTGGCAAGACCGTGCTAGAGATGAAGCTTTAAAGGTGTTTGGAAAAAGAAAACCTGATATTGACGGATTAAATCATCTAAAAGTTGTAAGTGTTTTTGCTTCTAGTGATTGGATTTACAAACCTTTTATTAACTAGATAAACGCATAATGAATCTAGTAATATTTATACCAAACTATATTTTGGGATTAAAATAGAGCTAAATTATGTGACCCCATGTTTAAACTTGAGCCCTCACTTATCAGTGAGGTAAAATCTAAAGCAATCTGCAACAAATAAAAGAATTTATGACCATTTTTTTTATTATTACATTTGACAGGAGTTACGTAGTAATCACTTTTATTTGCAGATTAATATGATCTTGCTCGAGGTACTTAGATTATACCCGGTTGGTATAGGATTGGGAAGGATGATTCATGAAAAAACTACATTAGGAAACATAATATTACCAGCGGGTTCACTCCTCCAGTTGCACATGATGCTTTTACATTATGACAATGAAATGTGGGGTGATGACGTGAAAGAGTTCAAGCCTGATAGATTTGCAGAAGGCGTATCAAAGGCAACAAAGGAACAAGCGTCATACTTCCCTTTCGGAGGGGGTCCACGTATATGTATTGGGCAAAATTTTGCTATGTTGGAAGCAAAAATGGCACTCGTTATGATTCTAAGAAGTTTCTCCTTTGAGCTTTCCCCTTCGTACATACATGCTCCGCATACTATCATCACTCTGCAACCTCAGTATGGTGCTCAATTGATTTTGCACAAACTTTAGTGGTTATTGTAGCAAATACAAGATACATATATTATTGGTTTATTTTTGTACTATATTATATGTATAAAAGATGCATTATTCATCGGAGCATCTAGACGGGGCAGACTGGGTTTTAAAATAAGGTTTAAAAATAAAAGGAGTATATCGTAATAAAATATTAAAATGTAGTAATTGTTTGTAACACTGTATCATTTTTTTTCTCTATTAAGTATTAAATAGATCAAGTATCCTACAATTAATGAAGCATGCATGAAAAAGGTATTAAAAGGGAGAAACCAACTCCCTTTTAGCCGTTCATCGGCTTTTCCTTCTCCACCACCTTTGATTCTCCAATGAAATGCTTCCAGAGTTGTTTCACCGACGTCTGCTATGCGTAAATACAAAAGACCCTTTAATCCTCTTTCATCTCTGCCACTGAATGTTGAAACCCTTTCATATATTCCACGTGAAAACCCTACAATCTCCTCCGTCGCATGTCGCCTACTCTTTAACCCTCTTTAGATCACCATGGCTCAATCAGCGATCCTCAACCGTCGATTTTAGATCACCATGACCACCAGGAGGAGCAGCAATCGCCGTCGGAGTTTTCTCTGCCTCCAATGTCGGAATTCGATTCTTTCATGATGACAATGAGGATGGTTTTATCAGCCATACCCGTCGACTTTGCGCTTCACCATTCCGTCATCATTTGAAGAAATTACAAGCACCATTGGTACTACAAGAGCTCTTGAACCGACATTCTAGGGACTTGGTATGTTCCTATAAAAATATTGTGTATATGAATTATGTTCTTGTTCTGTTTTGTATCTCCTCAACAAATTGAATTCAAATTATTTCTCTCAAATAATAGACTCCACTTCATGCATTGTGCCTTGTTTATCATATTACATTAACATGATTGATTCTGAAATAGAATGAAAGCCAATCAAGCAAAATATAGAAACAATTATAGGCAATGAACTTTTGCAAAATGGTGATACTTATTTTTATTTTCCTTGTGGGATGAAGGTCTTGAAAATGTTTGTTGACCACACTCTTAAACCAAGTTAGTAATATTTCGTTTAAGTCACAAGGTTATTTCTAGAACTTTACAATTAACTGATGGTTATGGTGTGTAATTAATTAAATGTCGAATGAGTAGGACGATAGATTAATGTTGGTGCAAAGTTAAATGAGGGTGACATACCATTTGGATCTATCTTGAATCACAAGTAAGCATGTTAACGTAATGGATTATGATAAGGAACCCCTTTCTTCTCCCTCACCTAATCACCCACAAACACATAATGAATAGGTTTTTTTCAAAAAAAAAATTGTTTAAGAAACTTCGGTAACGAAAGGTTTTACCATCAACGGGCTTAATATAGTCAAAGACTTATGGTGTTTGAATTTGATGTTTGAATTTGAATTACAGGGTGTGTCGATCTAAAAATTTGGATTGAACTATAATAACAGCAAGATGATATGAACGGGACATCAGATTATGACTCTTGGATGAAGAACTTACTTGGGAATGCTTCGTACCGGTGTCTCTAAGGTTTTTCTTAACTTTTGTAGATTGAGTTTCTTACATTATGGCTCATTGATTAATCTTGTAACATTTTAGTATATTTACAGATGTTAACATCAAAGCCTCTAGTTTTATAAGAAATACCTTCAAAAAATGAATATGATGACATCCGTTGGAAGTTGGAACTTCAGGTATGGTTCTTGAAAACTTTGCACTTAAGGCTGGAGGGAGTGGAGTCAAGTTTTCCACGGTCCACGTAGGCACCATCTAGGATTTGCCACACTGCTTCAAAATTTTGCCATTTAGTGGGTGTGGGTTGTTGAAAACAAGTGATAACAATCGATTGGACTCACAATATCTAAGAATTTATTCAAGAACAAAAAGGCTTTTATAGCTATTACAAATAACAGAAAGAATGAGAAAGACTCAAAACATAACAAATTGATATCTTCCCTAAATCTCGTTCAACACGAAGAAGAAGGGAACAACCTGGTACTTTGGATTACTAAGTCACGCCGACTCTTGGCTTTGGGCCTTATTTCAAACATAACCTAAAAACGTGGGCTAACCCAAACATTGAGATTGACCCAATAAATTCCATCCCTTAAACAAGCAAGCGTTGAGCTTCTTGTTTAACATTTCTCACTCCAATTTCTTCTCTGGTGAATTCAAATGTAGCTAAAGTCAAAGGCTTAGTCATCATGTCTGCTAGCTGCTCCTTTGTGCCACAAAACTTCAGTTGTATAATATCTTTGTTCACCAATTCTCTGATATAATTAAAACAGAGATCTATATGCTTTATTCTTCTATGCATTACCGGATTCTTTGATAGCTTTTTATGGTTGAACACTTGTCACACATAATCTCCACAGTTCCAGACTTTTCTTCAAGTTCTTCAAGGAGACCTTTCAACCATACACAATGACATGTACATGTTGTAGCTGCAACATATTTTGCTTATGTTGATGATAAAGTAACAACTTCTTGTTTTCTAGAACTCCAACATATTGCAGCTCCACTGAACAAACATACATACCTAGAGGTGCTTTTCCGGTCCTCTAGATCACGTGCATAATTGCTATCAGTAAACACTTTTAATTTCTGACTTTGATCCTTCCCATAGTGTAGCCCATAGTTCATAGTCCCCTTTATATACCTCAGAACTCGTTTTGCCACAACCATGTGTTCTTCCTTGGGCTTTGCCATAAATCTTGCTAGCAAGCTGACCACATACATCAAATCTAGGCGTGTCATAGTCAAATACATGAGACTACCTATAAGAGTCATATATTTGGTGTTGTCAACGTCCTTCCCTGCCGCTAGTTTCATAAGTTTAGTACCTAGGATAATTGGATTCTTCACACCATTTTCTTCACTCATCTTGAATCTTTTTAAGACTTCTTTTGCATATTGTGATTGACACAAAGTGATACGTTCTGAGTTCTGGTTCACTTCTACTCCAAGAAAGTACTTCATCTGCCCCAAATCTGTCATCTCAAATTCCTATTGCATGGAATTTTTGAATGATTCGCACAATGCATGATCATTTCCAGCATAGATTAAATCATCAACATATAAGCTAACGAAGATGATTTTATCCTGTTCCTTCTTCACAAACAGTGTATGATCATAACTGCTTTTCTTGAAACCTTCCCGCAAAAAATAACCTTCAATTCGATTAAACCAAGCTCGAGGCGCTTGTTTTAATCCATACATTGAACGGTTTAGCATGTACACCTTTGTTTCTTCTCCTTTCTTGATGAACCCCTTTGGTTGAGTGACATGTACCACCTCTTTGAGCTCACCATTCAAGAAAGCGCTTTTGACATCTAGTTGGTACACTATCCACTTTCTTTGAGCTGCCATTGCTATTAGGGTTCTAATTGTGTCCCGACGGGCTACTGGGGCAAACACTTCATTGTAATCTATTCCTTCCCGCTGGGCATATCCCTTTACTACTAGTCTTGCCTTATACTTTTCAATCTTTCCAAGTTCATTAATTTTTGTCTTGAATACCCATTCTACCCCTATAGGCTTGGTTCCAGGTGTAGGATCAACCAATTCCCAGGTATTGTTTCTTTCTATGACTATCATTTCAGCATTCATTTCTTGTATCCACTTGTCTTCTTTACATGCTTATCCGTATGTTAGTGGATCATCCATGGCATTATACATTGCAAAGCTAGCTTCATCTTCATTGAACATGTCTTCTGTCATGTAGTAGTCTTTTTTCCATGTAGGTGCTCGTCGAGGGAGACCAGGTGGTGTGTTTTGATTATGTGAATTTTCTGAGGCAGGCGAAACTGGACTATTAGAATTTTCACGTGAATTTTCAGGTTGAGATGTACCTTGAGCTGGGGAGCCCGCTCCTTCAGAATTTGGGTTTGGGTTTGGCGAAATTTGTGGACCCTCTGTATTTTCATCTTCTTGTGAATTTTCCTGAACTTGTTCATCATCTTCTTGTGGATTTTCCTGAACTCGTTCATCATCCTCTGCAATTAGCTCTTGTGTTTCCTGGTTCTGTTTAGACCAATTCCAGACTGCATCTTCATCAAAGATTACATCCCTGCTAATCACAACTTTCTTGCTTGATGGGTCATATAATCGATAAGCTTTTGACTCTTGGCTAACACCAAGAAACACACACTTGTGACTTCTTGGATCCAGTTTTGTTCGTAGTTGAGAAGTTATATGAGCATGCCCTATACATCCAAACACCATGAAATGCTCAACACTTGGTTTTGACCCGGTCCATAGCTCTTCAGGTAACTTTTCATCAAGACTTCTGCTCATACACCTATTTAACACATGACATGCCCACCTTGCTGCTTCTGACTAAAAATAATTGGGCATAGATTTTTCAGTTAGGAGACATCTAACCATATTCATTAGATTCCGGTTCCTACGTTCTGCAACCCCATTTTGTTGTGGGGTGTAACCAGCTATAAGCTGCCTCTTAATGCCCTGAGCTTTACAATATTCGTTAAATGCGGTCGAAGTGAATTCTCCTCCCCTGTCACTTCTCAAACACTTGATGTTCATTCCGATTTCTACTTCCACAAATCTTTTAAAGCTCTTGAATATTTCAAAACTTTCACTTTTCTGTGACAGGAAATAAACCCAACACATTCTAGTATAATCATCGTGAATACTAGTATGTACCTTTTTCCACTGTTTAAGGCAGGAGTAATGGGCCCACACAGGTCTCTGTATATCAACTGTAGTTTCTCTGTAGCATGCCAGTTGCTTTTCTTGGGTATTATCTCTCTGTTGTTTCCCAATGGAACAGGTCTCGCATACACCATGTTTCTCGGCTATAGTTGGCAGTCCTACCACAACTCCTTTGTACAACATGGTTCTAATGGCCTTATGATTGACGTGTCCAAACCTCTTGTGCCATAGTTCAGTGTTGGAATCACCACATACTTGTAAACACTCTAGTTGTTGAGGTTGAGATAAGACATACACCAAGAACATCCTATTCTATGTCATGTTAGATGAAATTATCAAACCCTTTTGAGGATGAAAGACCCTACAAACATTTCCTTGAATGACAAAAGTCAACGATTTTTCTTGAAGATGTCCAACACTCAAAAGGTTTGATGTTAGATATGACAAATAGTACATATTTGTAATCACCTGTACCATGCAATTCACACTGATACGAATATTACCATTTCC